GTGCACATACTAGTGCAACTGTTGGTGTAATTACAGTTAGCCCACACAAGCAGGTCACTCGATTGTAGATACACAGAGCGCATTCTACATCATACAAAACATGTTGAGCTAGGCAGCAGTGGCTGGCATTTACCGACATGCACCAATGCCAATGCGCGGCTTGAGCAAATATTACAAGCCTCAGAACACCCATACGCCATTTTAGAGACAGAACAAGGCGATGAGTAAGCACCAAAGGATTATATGAATAGCGGCCAGGCAATAATTCAGACCACTGCTGCTAATCAAGGACTAGTTCCTAGTACTAGTATGTTGTCAGTGTACCCTGAAACGATGCAATCACAGCGAACGTGATACATGCACATCATGTTGCCTGGTTCTTGGTTAAAAGTTGTATCCTCAATGCTTGAGGTTTGTGGGGTCCCTCCAGCTTCTCAGAGTCCTGCATAAAAAAGATAAAAGCAAGTGCAGGTAGAATAATAGTAAGCTCACATAAAACCTCTTCGTCTTGCTAACAAATTTCGTGATTAAATCCACAGCATGGGAACGAAGCTACAGGAAAAAAGTTCAACCATAATAATGCAAAAAGGCAACTTTAGCTAATCATATTTTTGGCAGCAACACTATACTGTTTGTATAGGAGAGTTGGCTTGGTGCATTCATGCCAAAATGAACTCCCTATAGTATTGTATTACTGTACTTCATCATTTTACTTGAGCATTCATTCCCAGTAGCCCTAATGTCTTCTAACAGAGTGCGCAAGGTACTGCATATTCGGCGCATATTTTATTTTCGGCTAATATCGGCCTGTGCATTTTTAATTCGGAAAGTGGTGGACATCACGCAACTGAATTGTAAATAAAAGGAGGTTTGTCAACTGACAACCGCATACTTTTTCGACATCACTAATAAAAGAATTTTGCGTCCAGTGCATGTGCCAGGAGTGAATAGCAACTGAATAGAGCGGTTGTCATTTATTTACTAGAGGAAACGCAAAAGGTAACAAGATTACGTAACCAAAGGTGAGAAGGCACTGAACAAACTGTCAACCTACGAATACAACCTCAGTGCAACAACGTGCTCTTTCTGCTTACACAAGCAGAAAGAGAAAGAGCATGTTGTTGCACTGAGGTTGTATTCGTAGGTTGTATTCGTAGGTTAACACTTCGTTCAGTGCCTTCTCCCCTTTTATGTACTGGGCATTTGTAGCCTAAAATTTGTTTCGCAAGGTTCAATGTGACAGTGTATACAGGCATCAGCAGTACAGGCTGAAATTTCAATGTGGCCGAGATGTGCTTTTGCCCTGGGGAGGCTGCAATTTAAAAGCGTCGAAAATTTGCATACTTTACAACACAGTACTGAGCATGCGGTGAGCTGATGACGAAATGAATTGGAGGTACTAATAATACTAAGGGATTCGGGGGCGCATCAAAGGCGTCAGCACCAAGGAATGGGATAGATTTGTGCCCAGTTCAGGTATGTATATTGGGTATAGAACGGAAATTAATGGCTTAGCCTCGGGCGACTCCTACCAGTATTGCCACCAATGGCCCATGGCTGCTGATCTCTGTGATAGAAATGAGACGTGTATGTGAAACCAAAATACGGCTTTTCAAGATATACTGTAAGACATGTTATTATAATGAGTCGCTAATTTAACGATTGTCCAAAATTCATAGGTTAACGATCTTGCAGTATTCTGCCATATCCACACACAGCATATATGAAGCAGTAAGGCCTCAACGGATCTTATTATAACGAAGAAATGTCATCCGTTAAAACGTTAGATTTGCTTCCTCGTTATATAATATATACTGTAAGACATGATTGTATATTATAAAATCATGTCTTACAGTATGTGCATTTTGTGAAGATCTGATGTAAGTCATTAGGGACACCTTGTTGGGTCTTGCCAACATTCAATTATTATGATGTTCATATCTATGCAATAACGTTAATGGAATTATCAGCAAGAATCAATAATCCCAAGAGTATGCAGCTTTGCACATGGAGTCTGCCACAACACGTTTACCAAAGTACATGAATCTAGACACGAGCTGAGGAATCAGCTGAGCTGCTGCATAATTTATGATCTGCTATAGTTTCCAGTCTCCATGGAGGTTTTTCTTGGAGACGTCGAATCTACAGTATTAGGTGTGAAACTGTTGTACTAAACTGCAGGAGATAGACTCTATTCAGCTCGGACAACATTTCACAAGCACGCCGATCAAAGCTTGCTACACTCCCGTTTAGTCAACTTAACGGCCCAAATAATGCTTGGGTCATGAACTCATCGCTGTTGGTCTTTTGAGGGTGCCTGACAATGGTTGTTAGTGCACAGCACCTGCCGGGCCAAATGACAAGATCAGAGACATAGATCTTCCTAGTTCAATTGCTGAAAGGTGACTTGTGCAAACGTTATGTAGCAAAAGGAACTGTACTATGGTACTACACGCCATTCACAATAATCAAAAATGCCCACTTGACAAAACAGAATTTCATCAACGGAGTCCCGGGATTTTTTCTTCTGTACATATGCATTATGGAGTCATAGCATAAGGGAGACGGCACGGTAGACTTTCAGCCTAAATCATAACGAGGGCCAGCTGGGCAGCTCGAAAGAGAGCTCTATGCACTATTGGCAGAGTGGTATACATGAATAGAGAGTGACCACCCAGTGCATGAAGCTTTTCGTGTCACCCTAGAAAATTTCAAAAATTAATAACGTGGGTTCAACCCTGGGCTGCCAGTGACAGTTGCCCTAACTGCCTTAGGGGCAAGTGCGATACATACATGCTCGCATATAGCATCGCTTGACTGACCCATGCTTGGGGCCAGTGAGTCAAGTCCGCAATCACGAGTTGCATAAACCACAGATCATGTAGAATCTCCATGGATCCAATCTGTGTACTGTAAAAGCAGAAATTTTCGGTAGTGTAATATTTTCGGAATTCTCCAAAATCGGCGATTCGGTGGAGGGAAATTTTCGGTAATACCCGCTTTCCAGGTAAGGGTGCTAGTACCACTAAGTAGTACCGAAAAAGTTCGGTGCATTTTTTCGGTAAAAATTGTCGGCACCGAAGTTACCGAAAATAAAACACCACTGAAAATTTCCGCTTTTACAGTACATCATTTTGGGTATCATGATCTCGTGTTGTTTCCTTGGGTGCTACGACTCCCTGACATCCATGGAACGGTATGAATTGGGCGATTTCAGCCAATCAGTAGACGTTCTGAGAGGGGTATATTCAACGATACACCCCGCTCAGTTCACAAGGGTCGCGCCAAGAGTGAATATTGGAAGGAGTCTTGGGAAAGTGCCCTGGGAGAAATGGATTGCACCATTCTATACATGTACTGCATTCCCCATAATTTCCTCGTGCTATGTCCTCAGGAAAATATTTAACGTATACCCTTCATATACTCATAGAATAATCCAAACGTATCTGCAGTCAACCACGGGTATAACAACCCACGGATAGTGAGACTATCTTCAGACCTAGTAACAATATAGCCGTATATTTTCAACCCCGTGAATGACGACAACTCCCAAATACCAACACTTTTCTCATGCCCGATCAAGGGTCGTTCGTTACTGGCAAAGTTAGCTGGATATCATGTCATGTAGTCATTATTACTTCAGGCAGGGACAATGAAATACACCCCCCCCCCCCCCTTTCCTGCAGAGGGAACAGTGCTGTGTCCAGGTCCGCATGCAGCATGGAGGTGCTAGTAAGTCACTGGCATCATTTTCTCTTGTGGATCGATGTACAGTGTGTGACAATGCTTCCATAACGTTAGTGGTGGTGGTGGTGGTGGCGGGAGCATACTGCACTGCAGGGCATTACAGCACTGGCATACTATTATTTTCTCTTGCAGACGTGCCGTGCACGACAATGCTTCTATAGACTAGTGGTGGTCACGGTGATGGTAGTGGTGGCGGTGTGGTGGTGGTGTGGTGGTGGTGGTGGTCACAGTGGTGGTGTGGTGGTCACAGTGGTGGTGGTGGAGGTGGTGGTGGCGGCGGTGGTGGCGGCGGTGGTGGCGGCGGTGGTGGTGGCGGTGGTGGTGGCGGTGGCGGTGGTGCTGCTGGTAGTGGTGGCGGCGGTGGTAGTTGCGGTGGTGGGAGCATTCTGCACTGCAGGGCATTAAAGCAAGCTCGATTGTGCATGCATGGTGGCGGTGGGAAAGAGGAGCCAAGGAAAGTGTGTACATATTTTTGTTGAAAGCACGAGAATTCAAAGAAAGCTGGCTGCTTCCTCTATTTCCATGGTCGGCCAGTGCCTGCAGCACGAACAGTACATTGTATTACATGTATGTGCATAGACAGACAAATAAACACTAACCTGAGCATGGGTACAAGCCTTGTATTCGTGGTCAGGAAAGTGAAAGTACGAACGAAGGAGAAGAAGATTGTTGACCATGGCGAACAACTGCATATCCAGAGGGCACACGGCTTGCCAGAATGGGTCGGCTACATCTTCGCTAATTTTCTATCCTAACAACATTCAGCTTCGAGATCAAGGACGACGGCATTTTTGGAAAGAAATTAATTATTTCGAATTTTGGAGAAGAAGCTTGCTTTCGGAAAAATGTTCCTTTCACGCAAGGCAGCATGCCAGGTCAGGCGTGTGAACCAGGTGAACTGTGTCGGCAGCTCCACGTTTACGTTCCAGGCCGACAGTTTTTTGACCAAGCCGTGAATCGCCCTCGCTCTGACTCCCCCGGCTACGAAGGAGTAATTTTACAACTCTTCAGGCCAGCTACAGGTCTCTGATACAGAGCCGCAAGTGACGGATATCGGTCATTTGCAGCCACTACTAAGAGCCTCCTGGTCGTTGCAATCTGATACATAATATACCTCCAGCAGCAGGGAGTCGTACCAACCCTTGTTTGTCCTTATTTGTACAACACCCTGGCCTGGCCAACAGTACGCTGTAGGCGCCAAGCACTGAGATTGGTCTTCGGGATAGCACTCTCTCAATGTCCGACAAACCAAGTAGAACATACCCCCTTTCATCTTCACCCATCAATACAACAATCACGGTATAACGTTACTTCTTGTAGCGCCAGATATAGTACGTAGAAAACTTCTTTTGCTGAAATAAACATTCTTATAATATCATTATAGTGTTATGGGTTAGGGAAGGGGGGGGGTAAAAATAAATAATGAAAATCAGACCACAGCTCATAAGTAATATACTTCAAGTCAGAAGAATGGCATTTTGTTCAGGATAAAGTTAAAACTTAAAACAGAACAGGAAATCAAAAACAAAGAGCAGACAAGTCGGATTACAGATTATCCGAAGACAGAAAGAGAAGTACGTGGCAGTCAGAGCAAAAAGCATAACTGGAGGCCGGAGGCCAAAGGGTAGCCTCGACGGCATCGAAAAAGAAATGAGACAACAGCAAATCAATCAGACCCAAGTGAATTCTCAGTCAAATTTCACCAATTGGCCACTGCGTTGGCGGCGTGGGCTTTTTCTCAGGTAGTCGAAATCGGTGGTGAGTCTGTGAAATAGTAACGCAGTATGCCATCCTCAGCCGCAAAGTGTAGAAGGATAATGTCAAGTCTGGGCACAGCCCAGGGTGCTCGCGTGTAGGTTCATAGATGGAAGAGATAGCATTCGCATACACTCTCTCCCATGTACTACAGTAGGATGGAAGTCTTCCCCGGCACCTCTCGATGGAACGGCAAAATATCACACTCCAGTGTGCCAGTTGCAAGGTTGCCGGCATGCCAGTGTTTTGCCGGCATGCCAGTGTTTTGCCAGCATGCCAGTGTTTTGCCGAGAAGCTGAGTGTGCCTGTGGGCTGCAATCCAGTAGCAGAAGAACCTCAGTGATGCGTGTGCATTGGTTCCGCCTCTTACCAGGATGAAATGGTACATAAGCTGATATTGAGGTATGTCAAAAGTTGCCGTATCACCAGCGCAGACCAGATGAGGATGTATACTAGCTGGGCAACCTGGAGCAAAAGAAAGAGGTATTTGTCAGGATATTTGAGTTGCCAGGAAACAACTAGAGGATGTATTGTAACACACAATGTGTCGTTTCCCACCCGGTTGTTCGATAAGGGGGGGGGGGGGGGGGGGGAAGGAAGTGGATCCAGGCTCTCAAGTGCAGTACAATTAACAACGCGAAAATCAGATTTGCATACACAGGTAAGCCGTGCTGGCATAAATTGTGCGCATCAGTGCATGCTTTTGGTTTAACACCATAATGATTATATTATTCGGATACTGGGCCAGATATATAATGATTATAGTTTTATTATCTTGACGTTTGAGGCAGTCGCTTCAGAGGCAGAAAATCGACAGAGATTAGATCAATGGTACTTCACGGTAGTCGAGACACTGTAACTAAGGGTGGGTGGGAGAATCACTTGCCATTTATTCTGGGCAGCTGGTACTTACAAGGAAGAAGACGAACAACGAGTGCTCAGGTGTGACCAACATGACGCTGTTGAGGAACAGAACGTATGGAATAGCCAGGATTGGGTGAAATGGCTGCACTTTGGACTTGCACATGTTCATAACCTGTCAACATTGTACAAAACATTCCAAAATAGAAACACTTGGCTTAGCCAAGACACACTCATGGAGACTTGGCTTAGCCAAGACACACTCATGGAGACTTGGCTTAGCCAAGACACACTCATGGAGACTTGGCTTAGCCAAGACACACTCATGGAGACTTGGCTTAGCCAAGACACACTCATGGAGACTTGTCCGCACTCGCGTGTGCGTGTGTGTGCTTCACGAGGCTTTGCAAGCCCGCGAGTGGAGCAAACTACCGCACGAAGACGACGACTTGGAACGACTCTGAGCGTTGGCTCATGGAATGTTTGCTCTGTTGTGGAGAGTGATGGACCAGTTCAAGCGGCAGCCGTGAGAGGAATTGTTTCCGATGATAAGCCAGATCCATAGCTGCCGGAGATGGCTCTCTCGAACATGGTCCCTGAGTCCCTGACCTAGTAGATCTACCCCTCTCTCAGCGGACTGCCGTCGCTCGTCGTTCCATATTGTCGGCCCCACAAGGGGACACGTGACCGTAATGGCAGTGTTTGCCGGACCAGGACCAGGACCAGGTGTGTGTGTGTGTGTGTGTGTGTGTGTGTGTGTGTGTGTGTGTGTGAGAGAGAGAGAGAGAGAGAGAGAGAGAGAGAGAGAGAGAAGAGAGAGAGAGAGAAAGAGAGTCAGAGACAGAAACAGACAGAGAGTGAGACAGAGAGCTAGAGAGTGAGTGAGAATGCCTGGTTTCCGATACATTAAACATAGGCGGTAGAAACCAAGGAACTGTGTTTTAAAACGATGTGAACATCCAGACCACGGCAATGTGACCTACCAGAAGACGATGTACCAAGTGGACCATGACCAGACCCAGTGTGGAGATGATGAGTTGCGGGTGAGAACGGAAGAGTTGTGAAGTGACGCATGTTAGCAGTGTCGGAATGATCCACAGTGCCAGCTGAATGAGCGGGGCATGAAGCTGCAAACATCATGAACAACACAAAGTAGAAAAACCAGGTTATGGGCACTGCAGTAAGTTACATGCATTAGTGAGATGTATGGCTGTCGTGACGCGGATCATCACTAAAGCTCTCTGAGTACAAAGGCTCTGCACGTGGTGCTACCTTGTTCCATGCACATCACTCAGACCAGAAAGGGAATACAGTTAGCACTGTGAAGTGCTTACTGAATGAGCCGTTATTTAAAAACAGCGGCTCTTTCCGCAATTGGCAGTCCAGTTTCAGCACAGCGACTGCAATTTCCACCCTTCCATGATTTAGATGCCGACTGCACTCATATCTCGCTAATCCGGGGTCCGGGACCGGGCACTGCCCAAAACTTTGATTTTACAGAACTCTGAATCACATGTACGTTTCCATGGGGAAGGACCAGATGTCTGGCATATGAATCCCGCTCCGATAAGAATATCAACTTGGGCCAGGAAAGCAAGTTGAACCTCATCCCAGGCCGGAAATGCGTGCATTGTGCATTGTACATGTGAAGTCGGAAGTGAATTGACCTCCATGCAAACCATGTTGAAGATGTTCCACGCAAACATCTTCACGATGTACTGTTGAAAATGTCACTTTCACCCAAAATACATGTAAAACTAAACTTGAAAGGCCAAAGCTGACTCGACCCGGGATGAAGACTTCCATGCAAGCACAGCCTCAGCAAGTAGAAATACAGCTGTACTGCTGCTGCTGATGGCAGTCAGTGACTTATATGTACATAAAACAGATACTGTACGAAGATCATGCTCCGAGAGAACACCAGACAGTAATGCGTGCCATGGCCAGGGGCATCGGACACGGTACGGTCACTACAGTATTGACCGTACCGTGTGCGATGCCCCAGGTACCCCGTAAATCTAGCAAGAGCACTGATTTGGGGTCTAAATTTCGAAAAGTTTCGGTTCATCCACCCCCCCCCCCACAAGTAAATTGTACTTGAAATTATTATTAATTGGAATATGTTGGAAAATCGGCTAAAAGAATTGTTGGCGTGTTGGCTTCAAAATTGGTGAGATACTGGAAGAGTTGGTAGACTTTCGGCGATTCGCAAAGAAACCCTCCAAAATCGGCAAAAAGCTTAGTGATTTTTCGATAAGTCTCATTTTCGACGAATTTTTTCGGCCGCCCGATTTGGGGATTTTACTAGAAACGATCTTCCTAATGGCTAATTTTTGTTTGAGAGGAGGTCAAAGGACACGAGTCACACAACCTCAACGTACTAGTGCTATACATGTACGTACTGAAGTAGAGAGCTCGAGCGGTCATGCTTCCAGCCACATCATTCGTTCGTAAGTTCGTAAACGCGCTTTGCAACAACATTTGGTAGATTTTTCGGAGATTCTCAAAGGAACCCTCCAAAATCGGCGAATTTTTCTGCCGGCCGATTTGGGGAAAGCCTACCGCCAGTGTACCGGGCACCTTTCTCGGGCTTTCTGACCCGGCCATCTACAAAAAAAAAAGTAGAGCGATGCATAGGACTGGTACTACAGTCCATTCATAAAAAGATGGGTCCTGGCTCTGGCGAGCTCCCGTATTTGGCGATTTTTCGTGATTTCATCGTACACAGTGCAGTGCTGCGAACTTTGAAATTTGAAAAAGGGTCCAAAAAGGGTGCCTGAACTGGGGTTCGAACCGCAGAATGCACTGTTGCAGGCGGGGTCAAACAGCCTGGATTTTGATGGGTTTTCCCAATTCAGTGCTTTTGGGGCAAAACCTGGCCGAAATCCTATTCTTGCTATGGCTTGCTTTTTGGACAAAAAACTTCAGAAACATAATTGGAAGAGGATTCCATATGGGATTGCAGAAAAAATTCTAAAAAAACTCAACGTTTGACCCATTTATGGCCAAAAGCTAGAAGTTCATTTTTTCTGAATGGACTGTAGTACTACTACAGTCCATTCATAAAAAGATGGGCCCTGGCTCTTGCGAGCTCCCGTATTTGGCGATTTGTCGTGATTTCATTGTACACAGTGCAGTGCAGCGAAATTTGAACTTTGAAAAAGAGTCCAAAAAGGGTACCTGAACTGAGGTTCGAACCCCACAATGCACTGTTGCAGGTGGGGTCAAACGGCCTGGATTTTGATGGTTTTTCCCAATTCAATGCTTTTGGGGCAAAACCTGGCCGATATTCTATTCTTGTTATGGCTTGCTTTTTAGACAAATAGACTTCAGAAACATAATTGGAAGAGGATTCCTTAGGGGATTGCAGAAAAAATTCTAAAAAAACTCAAAGTTTGACCCATTTATGGCCAAAAGCTAGAAGTCCATCTTTTTCTGAATGGACTGTAAACACTGTAGCTAGGTCTACGAGTTCCTGGCCTAGTTACGGGCAGTTCTCTCAACAATCGTCATAGGAACGCTTCTCCTCGCAACAAGACTGTGCTGTGTGTCTTTTCGGGGTGGAGTGGATTTTTTCGTGATTCTGACACTGAGGAATTTCTTGTAACTAATGTTACTTGTACTTTGTAGTCTTTGTTTTGTGGCTGTTCCTGGGAGTTGGAAGCGCGACTGACAGTACAATCGTGAACGAAGAGGAGTAGAATAGATGTACTAGTAATATCTACTCGCTGTGATACAATTATCTAGTTTTCAGACGGACAGGCAGCTCGCAGTGGGTGGTGAGCAGCGAAGTATCGCAATAGCAGCTATTATTTCGTCAGAGTACACAACATTTCCGCCATGTCGTCGTTACTAGTTCGAGGTGGGTCACGACACTTATTTGTTGAGTTCTTCGACAATCTTGTTGCGTTGAAAAGAGAGAGAGAGAGTCTGAGAGTCTGAGAGAGAGAGAGAGAGAGAGAGAGAGAGAGAGAGAGAGAGAGAGAGAGAGAGAGAGAGAGAGAGAGAGAGAGAGAGAGAGAGAGAGAGAGAGAGAGAGAGAGAAGAAAGAGAGAGAGAGAGATGGAGATGCGCGCCTAGGTACACAATGCATTTTTTCCTCAGTCGGAGGCTGACGATCGGTCGATAGAGGACAGAATTAGGGTGCGTTCTTAAATCCTCTCGGAAAAGTTGGAGACTCTCCGAAAAGTTCGAGAGCTGTTCTTATATCCTCTCCGACTTTTAGGAGGCTCTCCAAAGCTTTCCAAGCTCTCCAAGCTTCAGAGGTGGTTGAAACTTGGAGATTCCCGCGGTTTGGGATCAGCGCATGACTAAAAGCCATGTGTTCATCATGAGTGTACGCATTTCCCTGTTCGCATACGAACACGTGCATTACTACATTCATCACTCAAGATCGCGGCCCCTTTGGCGCTTCATTTTGCTTGACACGTGCAAAATATCTCCGAATTCTTCGAGACCCGTTCTTGAGTAATCCCAGTTTCTTCGACTTCTCTTTTCTTCTTCTTCTTCTAGAAGCTAGAGAATATAAGAACGCACCCTAAGACAGAAGACTATAACGTACCACATGTAACACGTTTGTGTGCATGCCTTGCTTTCTCCATTATCATCTATTTTCTGGCAGACAACAATGCGCAGATCTCCAGAGTAACCACTCTCGCGTTGCCAAAGACATTTCATCGAGATTTCGTCGAGGATAAGTAAGTCTACCCTGGGGTGTCCAAAGGTTTGAACTGTGTTTGAAGAAGATGATCTTCGTGGGTGGACTGTGCCACGTTGGTCAAATAGAATGGCATGTCTTTAGGCAACACCACAGCAGGAGAATATCTCTCAAGCAACAGCGGTGGATGCCGTGAAGCGGTTGGATGATATACCCCTAGCATACACATTCGATGCCGGGGATTTACAGCCCTTAGTTCCATGATGCTACTGGGTCTACTAGTACTACTGTTGAGCACACTATTGTGTAATGTGTGCCACTCTTGTGACAAAGTAGAATGAGAGAGGAAGCTGTGCCGCCACTCAGAGTTTCAAGTTCATTCACAATCATCAGGCAACTGGTGGTCCGAAACCGGCAACCTAAACATAACGGGGGAGCGAGGCGAGGAATGTAAAGCAATATCGTGTACAATGCTATTCTCCCTCCCTCTCTCTCTCTCTCTCTCTCTCTCTCTCTCTCTCTCTCTCTCCGGATGGCTGTTCACTGATCAGCTGACCATAGCATGCTTGTGCATGCTTTGTGTTCATTGGTCGTTGTCCAGGCGATCAGTCTACTGGGATAATGGCTTATCTAAATCGTGGCCATGTAATGAACCGACACAGTCTGGTAAGCTCGATACAACACAACGTGATTCATTTAGAGCCGTCTAATGCACATGTACTATCTTTACAGACAGGACACGGCGATAAGCATGCATGAATTACATCATCAGGCTGTGCATGTACTTGGGAGGGCACTGTGCACTGGTTTTGCATATTATGGAACCTTTCTGCTTTCTTGATAGTGCAAGAAGGGTACTGACTACTGTGTCATGAAACCTCTCTCCCTCTGTCTCCCTCTGTCTCTCTCTCTCTCTCTCTCTCTCTCTCTCTCTCTCTCTCTCTCTCTCTCTCTCTCTCTCTCTCTCTCTCTCTCTCTCTCTCTCTCTCTCGCCTGTCTCTGCCTGTCTCTGTCTGTGTGTGTGTGTGTGTGTGTGTGTGTGTGTGTGTGTGTGTGTGTGTGCGTGTGTGTCTCTCTCTCTCTCTCTCTCTCTCGCCACCCACACCCACACTGTGGCATGTCTTCCCCACGCATTATGTAGTTGCGACGCAGCGCGTAGCAGAACTGTCCAGACACAAAGACCTGAGTCGTCACAAGATGTACCCAGACAAGTAAGCAAGAAAGGTGTTGAGTGTGTTCTCATGGTTCCACTGTGTGCAGATGTGGTGGTACTGTGAGTTTATGTGTGTGTCTTGTTGTCATGTGACTTCATAGTCTGTAACAATGGCCAGTGAGCCTTGATCTTTTGTCTGAATAAACATTTCAAGAAAGACAATCCAGTGGTGATGATCGAGCCTAGAGTATCTGAGCTTGCTTTTCTGTAACAAATGTGCGTACGCATGTGTGGGTAATGTTGGAAAGCAATAGAAGATTACACTCTGAAGTTCAAACATATCTTTGTGCAATGGCAGGCTTAGCGCCGTGAGCGTTGTCAGCAGAGCCGCTCAGGGGGCCGAACCTACGACACGTCTCGAGGCATTGGCCCAGCCGAAGCAACCCCCCAGGGCATACGCACCACCTAGAGCGGTAAGCTGCTGTCATACTGCACTGTATGGCTTGTGACTACATCCATGACACTGCCTACCACACATTCATATGGATCGGTTGGGGGGGGGGGGGGGGGGGGGGGGAGGAGAGAGAGAGAGAGAGAGAGAGAGAGAGAGAGAGAGAGAGGGGGGGGGGGACATGAATGTCGCATGGCAGGGAGGAAGTTTTAAAAAAATAAAATAAAAAAGCATGCTGAAAGGCAAGAGAGCAGTTCAGTTCATAAGCCGAATACTTAGTAACTGTGTCTCCTGCACAAGAGAGGTGCTCTTGGCCCTGTTCTTTTTAACCCTTAGGTGCCGGTAGGTCGATTTCGACCTATGCTGACCGTGCATACTAAAATCGAGCACAGAGCCAGTCTCGTACATCGCAGGTGCCTGATTTTTTTGTGCGGAGACCCTTCAGTAGCTGGCCTGTTGATAGCAATAGAGAAAGTAGGGGGGTTGCATTTGAAAAAGTCGAGTCGTGATCAACGACGATCGCGCAGATCAGCGGAAGTCAATCGAGCGTGGCAGCCTACGCACGCGTCCGGCAACATGAACAAAACGTTGCTGTTTCGCTTCGTTTTTGACTAGTACAGTTCATGGCTACTACAGCTGACCTCCGTCATGGATGCTGCAGGAGCGCTTGAGTTGTTTGAAGAGCTGGAGGCCGATGATGCCCTTGTAGAAGAAGAATCAGAAGACGACGATGGTGAATAATCTGACGCTCTTTTCTCTGACGGAAACCTGCCGTCATCAGTTGAGGAAGACCGACTCAACGATGATTTGGTTTTCGGTGAAATTCTTGAGAACGGCAGCTCTTCAGATGAGGACAAAATTTCCGACGGTGAGCTTCAAGAAGCTGTAGGGCGAGGGCAAGCGCAGCCAGTTCGTGGACGTGCTCCGCTCGCGCTGCGCGGAGGAATTGCTCGCGGCGCTGGTCAAGCTCAGCCAGCTGATCGAACAGCTGATTGTGGCGTGCGTGGCGCGTGTGGCGGAGGCTGTGGCGGAGGCCGTGGACGAGGTAGTGGATTCGGCGTGCTGAGTTGGGTTGGCGACCAAGATGTTCTTGGACCAGCGCAGTACCCTGATCCTATTGTAGATTTTTCTGACTTGAAAATTCAAAAATCGGATCTTGCTGTGTCTTGCCATTCAGAATACATACTTTTGTCGCTACATAATCTAAACGGTTGCGGAGATATAGGCTTTCCAAAAAATTGAGCCAAAACTACGAAAAATCTAAAATTCAGTCAGGCACCAAAGGGTTAAATACTAAACTGATCAAGTGATAGTAATGGAGCCATTCAGATGAACTACATCATGTACATAGTAGCTCTGCTCCATAGCTGTTCACAATCCTATATTGCTATATCAGCACAGGCTTCGTCTCGATTCCGTTGCTATCTTTGCAGCCCCAATCAGTGGTCACACGAGGTGCACAGCAGGCTGAAGCAAGCGCCCGGCTAGAGGCGCTGGCCAAGCCAAAGGCACCACGCGAGTCCGCCCTCCGTGATGGCACCGAGTTTGAGTGGTGCGAGTGGCAATCTAACGTGACCGACGCGGCCAAGAAGGCCACAGCCTCGGAGCGTGTCGAGGCATTAGCCGTGCCCAAGCAACCGGTCAAGGACTACATGGGATCAAAATCACCGTTCTGGCATGCCAACTCGGACGTCAAGATGTACACGGCTAGCGAACGGCTGGCCACGCTGAGCAACCCAGTCAAGCACCCAACGGTCAACGAGGAGGACAGAAGCGTGTGGAAGGTCCGCGTCGGCGCGATGCTCGCCGTCCCCTCGGAGCGTGTCGAAGAGCTGGCCAAGCCACTACCGAGAAAGCAGCGCACCAAGAAGTAGGGCTCGAAGGGCGAAGGCGGTGGCGCCCTTCGAGCCTCAGCTTCTGATGATGACGGTTACTAGCATGGCTTGCAATGGGTATACCTGAATACTCTCACAGTCTAGCTTTTCTAGCTCCCACTGTGTTCTAAACAGTTCTAACAGAGCAAGAGGAGTAAGTGGAGTGTGACGTCAAAAAAACAAAAACAATCTGCTTACAATTCTGCACCATAAAACTGTATTGTCGGGCAGACTTGGAAATGACTACGTTGTTAGTTTGTTGAGACGTTTGCTGTGTTGACAAACTTCTCTGATGATTCACATTCCGACATGTCCTTGAGATCATTATGGTATTGCTGCTATTGCACTTGTTTCATGCGCTCATCCATTATATTGTCATCTGTTCCTTATAATTATGGTGTTGGCAACACCAGAACACCAGAGTATTTCTATAGCTTTAATATAGGGCTGTTGTTGCTGAAATAGTCTATTGACGAATGCGATGGCATGGTTGCCGAAACCTGGTGTTGAACAAATCTGCTGGGTTAGATTGAAGTGCTGAGAACTCGGTCACTTTCGCAGCCGCATGTCTCAGCACTGAACACCGGGCATGGATCCAGGGTACATGTTCTACATGTACTAGCACGTGCCACAACATCGTCATTGCATTGCAAGACAAGACAGCCATGTGGGTGAAGCCATACCGGCGGATGTACTGGAAACAAAACTCCAGTGTACTCCTTTTTTTGTCCAACCTTTTTCCGGTGCTCTTCAACCGTACTGAGAAGGGATTTTTTCAACCGCAGATTACAAACAAACGTGACACTGGTAAACAAATTAGAGCAGCATACAGACGACTCGCAGATCCTCTACAAAGCAAACGGGAGGACATTAAAATGTTGTCTACACCCGCTGGCACTTAATGGTCTTGCAACAAAGATATGATTTGAATGCACACACTATGATGCACGGAATTTGTATCATCTTTTTCACCTGGCCTTCCGTAGTTACTACGGTATATTCTGCTGTTCTTCCTAGTTTACATGATTGCGATGTAATTAAAATGGTGGCCATCGCATGGAAACATTCCTGGAACACCTCAACTAGTTTTGCTCTTTACAAGTCCGAAATAATGGGCGTGCAGTTGATTCTTTTACAGCTATACCAACCACATGGTCACAATGTCTCCTTGGCTGTAATTTTTTTCAACGGATGTGTGAGTGATTATCAGTAAGATGGTTCCACTCACCTCGAGACGTTCTGATGCTGGGCGCTGCGCAATAACACCTTCGCAGCGCAACACGCATGTCGCAAAGGAAATAGCAATGAAGACCGCGGGTATGGCGAAGAACAGGTCGCGTACTGTCAGCGGCATGGGCAACCAGGGCACCACCTGGAGCATTCATATGCCATAGAGGCAGACACACACACACACACACGCACAGACACGCACACACACACACACACACACACACACACACACACAGCTTGAGTCCCAAGTTCACTGTGTGGCTCGCTACACTGCCGTAGAGAATATAAGAACCAATAACGTTACTAGTTACTAGTAGATGGGGCTCTTTTGTTCCTCATTACACTTACAGCTGGTTTATGTAGGCACCAGGGAGTAGTATTTTAGTATTTTACTACTCCCTGGTAGGCACTGCATGCCGATAGTGCATGGGTCTACTTCTACATGCAGAAAGAAGGACTGAAACCCCTGCTCACTTGTGAGTTTCACACGCACGTACGCACAGATGCACACGCACGCCCGCACACGCACACACGCACAATCATCAACCAGCAACACAAAATATAATTAATTATCTCTGCTTTACAGGCTCCAGAGAAGAGTATCATAAAACAATATGCACAGATGCATTGGTCAATGCACAACAATATGCAGTCACTCAAGAAGTGCTTTCACTCCGGCAACAATCTTGTGTAGGAACCTAGGAAGTAGGGGTGAAAACGGTTCCATGTTTTTCATGTTCGGGTACCCTAACGCCAGCATAGTTTCCACGGTCCGGGTATCGGTTCCAAGCACTCTTTTCTCCAGACCGACAAAATGCGTTCGTGACAATAATTTTTTTGAAAGCATGTTTACGAGCAAGAACGAGACATGGGAGAGTCCATGTGCGAAGAAGATAATGACCAGGAGAACCCTTTGGTCCTTGGAAGAGCGGTGATCGTAAGGTAAAATATTGAGTAGACTTGACGTGTAAATGTATTTGTAAGAGAACAAGATTTTTCGATATTTCGGTTCGAAATTTGACGGAACGGGTACCCAATTCTTTTCAGCTGGCGGGTCCAAAACCGGTTCCTTACCCGAACCGTTTCACCCCTAGTAGGAAGTGAGCAAGCACACTCACCCCCCACCCACACACATACGCGCGCGTGTACGCACGCATGTAAACACACACACACACTGTACTATACTTGTTGCTCACTGCCAAAACTGGTCACGTGAGTCCCCCCCCCTCCGGGAGAGGGCACACACGCATACACACGCATACATACACACACACCGCAATACTTCATTTCACGGTCACCTTACAGCTATCTCTTGCAAGAAAAATCCTCTGCCCATTGGGTGAAGGCCATTCAAGATGAAAAGCATAGTGAAGTATGTACGCGCCTCCTCGACATCCACCCTGCAAAAAGAGAAGTTAGGAGAAATGCTAGTAAGCACTTAACCGGCATGAACAATTTTCTTCAAGTAAAACATTCCATACAACAGCAAGAGCACATTGCCCTCAAGAGTGTGCAACTGCCTCCACAGTCTATACAGTGCTGCGACGGCAGAACTTCACATCACGTGACATACTAGTAGTTCAAAAGGTTACCCTGGCAAACAGTGCAAAGTGACCACAAGAGAGTTGAACCCAAAGCAGGGTTGCGTACAACCCTGCAACTATCGTGCACAGGGTGCAAATAATGGGTACGGGTTCGGCACATGATGTGAATTCCTGCCCTCGCAGACCCCATACATCGGCGCCCGGCACTTCAGTCACGTGACATGACCTGTCAAAAAGAGCTAACGCTGAATCGCGTACATGCGTGGCACCACGGAAAGGCGCATGCATAGATCGATCTGTAGCTGCACGGAAGCTGCGCAGGGCCTTCTCGTGTGGCGCAGCGTGTAGCTGAGGCCCTGGCCCTCAGCTTTCGTTTGAGCCCACATACGTCACGATGCGGCAATTTTTTGAACTCACGTACAGTTCGAGTAAAATCGGCAAGGATTTTTTGGGCATTTCACTTGATTGCACGCATTTGCCATGTAGCTCATCGTCTTCAGCGTCGTATTTCCTTTCGGAATCAGTTGTCCTCGTTCGTCCGACACTTTGCGCATTGCTGCGCAAGAAGAAATAATGCGAGGTGTTATTGAAAGCGAGCCGCGGCAGGCGTCCTCCCGGCAGTAGTCCTTGTTCGTCGGAGCCCATGCGCATGGCTGCGCAAGAAGAAATATTGCCAGGTGTTATTGGAGTCGCATCGTACAGTCGTCCTCTCCTGCAGGCGACGAGTAGGACAGTATATACTTCGGCGACTGGACCGAGAGAACTGACATCCAAACGGCCTGCTTGGAACAAATCGTCAGCTGATCAGCAGGTGGCTTCCAGCGACCAAGAAAAGCATTGACGGTGATATTATATACCAAGAATCCAGCACACACTCTATGCACGAAATCTCTCATGCTGGAGTTGCTGAAGTTTCAGTAGTCCCAAACATTTGCAGACGATGTTCTACAATGTCATGTGATAGTTTGTCATTTCTTTCCGTCAAATGCCCAGTAAAATTCAGTCTGCGGCTCATTGTTCTTCCGTACTCGTCACCAATTCAGTACTGTACATGTAGCAACAATGTGTTCTGGCACTGAATTATTGTAGTTAGGGGCCGTCCGTAAATATCGATGTTTTTTTAGAGACGATATTGGTGCTTCTCTCCCTTGACCCCCCTCCCTCCCCCCAGAAGACGCACATGTACATCTAGATCATGGAATCAATATTAATTTTTTGGATGCTCATGAAGTGCCCAGGATGTTGAGGGTCCGGTGTAGGCGTGAAAATCCCGCCGCACTCACGCAATAGCTGCATCGCCTGGGGGGAGCGAACCGGGTTGGCGCTGCAGTGCTCACAGCCATCGTGTACTGGTGTAGCCAAAGCGGCTACGCTCGGGCTTGAATTTTTTCAAATCCTTGTTCAGACAGTGAAGACTGGAAACTCTTGTGGAGTTCGTCCGTGTTTGTTCGCACTGCCTCTACGTCTTGAAAAAGGTCTCCTGCAGGCATCGTTCGGCCGATTTCCACAATCAATAGCTCATTCTTTTGCTCTTGAAATTCGCCGTGGGCGTACAGCTTCCAATTTTTGATTTTGTTCTTGTGTCGCGAGTTTTAGCTCCGCGAACGGAAGCTGGTTTCACATTTCTTGTATAGCCATTTAGACGTCCGCGTGCAGGGATCGGCGAAACTTCAGATATTTACATCGATATTTTTCTGATGCTCGAAAAGACGCACATGGCTCAAACCCCCTCCCCCCCAGACGCACCAATATCGTCTCTAAAAAAACATCGATATTTACGGACGGCCCCTTACTTTATCTTACCTCAAAGTCTCATCATATGCTTTTCCAAAGGCTTCTCTGCACTGTTTTCATGCTGTTGCGATGGAGTTGCTATGCTGTTGCTATGGAGTTGCCATGGTGACCGCACCCGATATCTTCGTCTGAGCTGCCGGACGGATGAAAAATGCGAAGTTTTTCCAAACCATGCTGTTTCTGCATTCATCTGGTTATTTTGACCTGCTTCCAGCGAGCCTGGTATTTTGCCACTATAGACACTGAAGCAAGTCCTGCCAATTCTGATATGCTGCTGGTGCCGTCGAAATACTGAAATTGCCGTTATTCAATTCTCCGACTTTGGATGGCTATATCTCTGTGCCAAGTTATTCTTTTTGCTTCAAATTTTCTGTGGAGTCTTCCTAAACCTATCTGAATCGGATACAAGAAAGAAATACGAGTATTTCTGGTTTTGAAAAAACCGCCTGAAGTGAGTGAGCAACTCCAGCTATATGGCTGGAGTTGCACACGCGAGGGGTTATGTACTCTTGATAGACATAATGGCGCAAAAAGCGAAAAAAATTCCGAGTGAATAAGAGTCGTCATATAAATTTCTTTAAAAAAAAGCCACATGTGGGACACCATACGGGCAGGACACCTGTACCAAAAAAGGTTACGGGTGAGACTCGAACCCACAATGTGTGTATAGTGTATACCATTATACCCCGTCTTTGGGTATGGGGCAGGCAGCCCAGTACCCACTCGTTCTTTCCTACTGACATGCAAGCAAGAGAAAGTGCCTGCGATAGGACCGAAAGCAGGGTACTTTTGACAAGACCCTGTCTTCATATGCATGACGTTGCAGTGGAGGTCAGCTAGATGTGCACCGCACTCTACTTACATAGAGTTGACATGCATTGTCCCGGCAACGTAGCTATGCCAGTGGGCCATGAAGAAGAGAGAGATGGCAGCAACCGGTGCCATTGCATGCATCAGCGGCACCTCGCCCAGCAGAGCGCAGGAGGCGGCTGACAGCGGCAGGATGATGGTGGCAAACGCGTCGATTCCATGATCAAGAAACTCGCCGAGGGGGGAACTATTGCCAGTCCTACGCGCCTGCTTGCCGTCAATGCAGTCCAGAAGTTGATACGCTAAGCAGCACACACTGAGAGTGAGCCAGAAAGCGCCGGGCATCTACAGTGTACCGACACAGAACACAAGAAATTAAGACCAGGAGCATGCACAGTACAGTCAACTTTGCGAATAACGACACTCGGCGGGCATCAGAAAAGTGTCCTTGTACCCGAAGTCTCATTATATGTATTACAGTTAGATGGGACTTTGCTCTGGGCACGGAAATTCTGTCGCTATTCGCGAATTGTCGTTATATCCGCAGTCGTTATTAGCGAAGTTGACTGTACTTCTTAGAAAGTACAATTTGGAGAAGTGAAAACCCAACCGATGTGCGTGCAGCACTGAAGTTTGTCCTGACCACCCTCTCTAGCTCTAGTGTACGTACATGAGGTCATCAGAACTGGTTCCCGGCTCTAGAAAGTGTTCATCAGTCTGGATTTCACTTGCCACAACTGGAGTACTGTAGTAGTACTGTCCTCTTACTAGGCATGTTGGCAAGAGTGCATAACATCAAATACTGCCTGCCACGGTCTACAGCCTAGGGTCTGCGGTGGCAGAATTTCACACCAAGTGAAGGCCTATATACCGTAGTGTCTTGTAATAAAGCCGGTCTCGTAAAGAAGCCTGTTTTGAATAGAAGCCTGATTATCAAGATACACTCACTGTAACTGTCGGCACATAAGTCTGGTTTTAGTGTTGACATACATAGAAATACCTGTCTTGTATAGAATTCTGTCTCATATAGAAGGCTGCAAAATTTCCCCAAAAAGTCATAATTATACTGAGCAGCGGCTTTTGTACACGACTTTACGGGTACATTGTCAGCACGCAGAGCCTGACAGCCACAGAGTTGTATAGCCCAGACATGGGTAGGTTGGGTATATGTCTCTGGTGATTGCTTTGTACTGTTCCCGCCAACTCATGTGACATGAAACTCTGCCGCCCCGAGTCTGAACATAGGACGTATAGCTGTCCTCACAGAATAACGCAGACAAAATCCTGAAATTATGCGCATAATTATGCGGGTGAAAACGGCCATTATGCGGCAAATATGCGGGATTATGCGGTATAATGCGGTCATTATGCACGAGTTATCTGTCATTTGAACAACTTTGGCATGGAAGTATACAACTTTGTCGTACAAACTCATGCACCGGTACTCTTGATGCCATGACCTGTGAGACCACTGACAATTTTATGCATTTGCATTAATGCTACAGTTAACTGCATGACTTCCTGTACAGTGAAGCACCAGGACTGTGTGAGTGTGTCTGGCCAGCTGCCCGTGTTCAGGACTGCTCAATGTTTACGCAATCTCTAGACGCAGATCATCAACATTACCTATCCGATTCAACCTGCAGGACACGTCATTTTCTGTCCCCACCGGATGCTGAGATTCTGCAGACGCGCAATTTTCCGCGTTATTGGTTTTCATCCGCGTTTTCTAGAAATTTTGAATAAAACCCGTGTTATTCATGGAATGTACAAGAAAACAGTACATGACTGTGAAAAGGCACTACAATGTCGTACCGGACCAGGGGTTTGTACGGCAAAGTTGAGTACTTCCATGAAAGTCTGTCCCTCCAGGAACTTGCGATTCCGCGGCCGCATTGTTTTCCGCGATTTGAACAAAAGTCCGTGATATCCGCGATATTTGAAAAAATCATCCGCGTTGTTGTAGAAAACTGTCCTTGATACTTGAAAAGCACCGCGATATTTCGAAAAGCAACCGCGATATTCGGGTCTTTCTTCGATGTTGTTTAGTTCTTCAAGCTCGTCAGTAGTTTACTTGTGAGATGGACACCAGAATGGAGAAGTTTCTGGGCAAATTAGCAGCTGACAAGTCACAAAATAAGGCTCGCGTCGAGTGTTGCCCGAGGATGGAGGAAAGCTGTCTTGCAAGCTCCTGTCAGGCAGTTGAACACAGTCAGCGCAGCACACGTTCTGTTTCGTCATGCATGATTTATGCTGTACGACTCATACATCGTAGATACACCACTACAGTACAAGTACCAAAATCGGCCGCAATTTCCGCAATTTTACCACAATAATCCCGCAATATTTGACAAAATCCGCAATATTCCCCGCAATTTGTGGCATTTTACCTCGCAACTTTTTCCGCGATATTTCCAAAATGTCTCCGCAAGTTTCTGGAGGGACAGGAAAGTGTACGCTAAATGTGTACCAACGACGGACAAATTGCGCTTAGTGACTGCATAATCCCGCATATCTGCCGCATAATGGCCTGTTTTTGCCCGCATAATTTTAGGATTTCGTCCGCGTTATTCTGTGGGACAGCATTTTTGTGGTAGCTTTCCCCTGCTGACAAGATGTCTATGATTGCAGTACAGTCAGACCTCGCTTATCCGGTCCTCTTTTATCCGGATCCCTCGCCTATCCGGACGAAAATTGTTGGTTACCGATTTACAGCATATGTCATGCATACATGCAGTATGTGTGTTCGATTATCCGGTTCCCTCGCCTATCCGGATATTTTTGTGGGAAACGGATGTGTGCGGTTATGCGAGGTCTGACTGTACATGTAAATGTACCGTTGTCATGCTATACCTGCTGAGTTGGTGTTCAAGGTTACTTCGTGAGGAACATGGGCGTAGGAACCGGTCCGGCAGGCCCGGCGGTCGCCGGACCAATAATTTTCGAATTTATTTATTTATTTATTTATTTTTTACATTTCAACCTTGTTGATGGCTTGTCGACTCTTGTACGGGTACCATGTTTTACATCGACAATGCGGTGTATCATCAGCATGCATATTCTTATTTCTCATATTATTATTCTGTAGCATTAAAATATGGCCTTTTAGGCCCAATTTTCAAAAAAAAAATCACGGGGGAGGACCCCCCGGACCCCTCTCTCACAATTTCGCCGCACCAATATTAAACTGCTTCCTACGCCCCTGAGGAATGCAGGTATGGTGGTAGTCCATAATTATAGTCTAGGAATGCATTGGTCCCACTGATTACTGGTTTCCACGTGCATCATCGTGCTTTGCTGGTTTTGCAGAAGCAGCACTGAGCATGACCCGAGGTGTGATAACTTTTTTTTAAATAATTGAATTGACTTCGCTGATTAATTTTTGTTTCACTGTACCTTGTCGTCACTAAGCGTGGCAGTGGGCGTGTGAAACACCAGGTAACATCCGGGTACCACAAAGCAGAGAGCACCGATGAAGGTGATCACGTTCGGCGCCAGCCAGCGTGGGAACATCTCCACGAGTATATTGCAAAACGGGCTGAGAAACACCCGCTCCAACCATGACTGGCCGCCGACGGAGTACTTGTGCTTGCTCAGAACTTTGAGCTGGGCAGAGTTGATGATGTCCATGGCTGCTGCTTTCTGCCTCGCAGAGGCTCTTGGCCGAGAGGAAGATGCAATTTGCCCGCCGGGCACATCAAGCAAGGAATGAACCCTGGTGGACTGCGAATGGTGAGTCTGGGCATTGAAGGCGACCTCACATCCAAAGGTCAAGTTTAGAATATCGTCGGAAAAGCAGCGGTTGGGATCGATCCTGTGTCCGCGGTGGGCAGCGGCCTCCATATTCGTCAGTCCCGTCACACCTCGTGGGTTCGTAACCAAGAATGAGAAAGGTGTAGATCTACGAGTCCGTACGCGATAGTTCTTTCAGTCGTACAGAACGAACTTGTTTTTGATCACCAGATCACAGAACAGAGAGGGAGAGAGCGCACACATAAGGCCTAAAGTAGGGACTTTGTCACCCCCGTCTTCACTAAATCCGCGACCGTTTTCTTCCACTACGCTCTTCTGTCTCGTCCGAGGCTGGCATCTGGTGTGCCCTGTTGCGGCATGACGTTGCCCGCCAGGATGAGTAACACCTTCAGCTTCTCTTGCCCTTATCTCCCAAAGCCTCCGCTTGGACGTCGCCCTACGAAGACTGATTTTATCTTCCCAACTTTCCGGTTTAGTCATCTGGACACCGCTGTTTGTCAGTGCGTGGTTATAAGCCACAATACGAACTGATACTGATGAAAGTACTGCACAGCCTGCACTGCAGATCTACGTAACTATGCTCACAGGCGACCATTGGCATTGTGGACCGACTGTTGTTGTGGCAGTACTAAAATAGCAACAGCGAAGATGTGCGAGGAGAAGTTACACTCACACGGTCAGTCCCTTGTCGTACACTGTAGATCTACTGCCATACCGGAATAGTGCTGGGATCACTACCAAGTAAATTAGCTCTTGCGTCCGCCAAGCGAGGTTTGTTTCCCGGACAGGACGTTAGCCAGAGAGCCTGGCTGAGAGGGTGGTTTCCAGACGTACCGTTGTCGCTGTGGCTCATTCCCCCTTCGACCTCAAGTTCTTTCTCCTAGGGCCACGTCTACTGTGACATGTAATACAGCTGTACACAACAACACACACTGTGACTAAAGTCTCAAGTGAGAAGCCAGAGACTTTCTGGTAGACCATGGTAGACTGCACTTGAAAATGCAAGTGAAAAGTCCGAACCTGCTTTCCCTTGCCACTTGGTCACATCAGGGTTGTATACTGGGGGGGGGCTATACTCTTGATACTAGTAGTGCAACTCCCTGGTTCACTTGAAATGACTGTGCCGCCGGACCATGGAGGTGCCATGGGGAGGGGACATCCTCCTCCCCCCCCCCCCCCCCCCTGGATTGTCACCATGTACCAGTAAACCGTAACGCACATTACTTTTTGGTTGTGCAGTGGCTCACTCTGGATTCAACAACACTCGACATGCCACACGTTATATGAAGCTATTGGAGTATTATCCGAGTACAGACAAGCTCACCAAACCCAAGCAGCTTGGAACCAACCTGTGCTTCGGATCTCGGAAACGGCCATAGGCATACACACAGTGCCAGGACCGCCGGAACATATACATGTCAGGCCCACCGGAAGCAGTTTCAGATTGATCCGGTCATACCATGCATAATCTTTCATACTCAGTTGTGTATAATAGACTGAGATTGATAGTACATGTAGGTACACATAACCTCCTCAACGGTAAACACGCATTGGTGGACAGCCAGTTGGTCTGGTGATGACCGGACCAACTGGACCGGTTCCGGCGGGCTTGCGTGACGTACTACAACATGTACGCAATGTACACAGTCTACAATGCATGGGCTCTATAATAATACTAGGTATGATAAGCTGCAACAACATGGTCAGCTTCATGTTTGTGATCACTCTATTCATCAGCCACTCTACACTGTGACAACGGGAGTGTCAACGTGTCCAATAGATGTACGTACAATAACATGACATTTTACACCCAGAACTGGGCAATTTGTGTAATAAATTCAGGAGTTGAACACAGCGGCAAGCTGCGATCTGTCTAACCAGGCCGCAGTAACACTGACTGAGGCGGTATCCTTCTGCACTTACCCATAGGGTGGCAAGTGATCCTGGACCTGGACACTGCACGTTACAAGGTATTCTACCTTGGCTTTAATAAGTAGAATCTCTAGCAAAGTGCTCGTACCAGTCCTAGCCCATTCTTCGATTCCAGAAACACACACACACACACACACACACTCGCTTTAGTCACAGCTCGGCGGCGAACACTTTTTGATTCAAATGCTTCTATGGAGAAAAAATCAAGGCCGGATCAAGACCATGCTTCATGCTTCCACCATGAGGCATGGTGTTTTAAAAAAACTCACAAAAACCTAAATAAAAAAGTAATGTCCTAAAAAGATCACAGGCTAGACAATCACTTGAGAAGCAGTGTCCATTTCATCAGAAACGAAACTTGCTGCTACTGTAGTGCGATCGACTACTTTGCCTTTTAGCTCAACCACTGATAGCATATGCTTTCAGTGCAGCTGTCTGGTCGGCTATGACAACCTTATTGTTAGATGTACATGTGGTAAGCCAGTTGATTTTAGTTGGATGCATACCCACAACACTGTGGCTAATGGTATCACTGACAGTATCTGTGGGCAGCTGTGCCTCTGTATCACAGGTATTACTAGATGCTGATGAAGCAGTGACAGAAGCAGCAGAAGCAGGCTTCGAGCGGCGTGCAGTCACTGCTGATGGTGTCTTCTTCCCCTGAGAACGTCGCGTAGTCAGCTGGGAAACACACGTAGACACATTCCAAGCAACAATCCTGCGATCATTTCCGGCCGACATTAGCACGCTGTCGGGCGCAAAACTAGAAAACTGCACTTGACATGCGCTGGATGGATGTACTCCCTCGAGGACATGCGCTAGCTTCATCGCATCCTTTCCACACCCAGAAAAGAGACGAATAGCCCCGTCCTCAGCAGCTGCGGCGAGAACGCTTCCGCTCTCGTGGAATGAAATCTGATGGAGAAATGGTGGGTTTAGCATTTGTGGCGAAGCCTTTTGCGCTCCGGCTGAGCTCGTCTCTGATATCGTGAGTTTGCTGAGCACTTCTCTCTGTAAGGGACGACCGCATGAGTAGTCCCAACGCACTAGCTTGCAATCCAGACCGCACGTGGCTAGCTCTGCGCCACGTCGGGGCCGAAACTGTACCGACGTACAGACGTTCTCGTGCTGGCGACGCAGCGTCTTGCACACCTTTCCTGTGCGCACTTCGATCACGTGTATTTCACCTGCATCGTCACACGCGGCTACGTGACTACCTTTCTCATTCACCGACACCTGGTTGAGCTCATCATCATCGCACCCACCTAACTGAAGTCGCCACAGTGGCGATGTCAGGCTCCGTGTATCAAACGCACACACTTGTCTTCCTGCTGTACAGTAGAGACTCGTGCCTGCTCCAAAACACACTCCGGACACAGGCGAGGGAAGCGACTGATCTACCAGTATGCTACCAGTATGCGCTCCATCACTGCTCCATAGTAGCACCCCGTCATCTCCACAAGATGCAATCTGATCAGCTTGATTGCTGGCGACACACAGGATTTCTCCACTGTGTTTTACTTGCCACTCTTCCATTCGGCATTGTTCATACGCCACCGCCTCAAATAGCTCGCCGAAGTGATACTAGTACTCCAGAAACTCAACCAAAGTCTAGTAGATGTCGATAAAATACCCTGGATACTTTGCTGACCAGAGACGATAATTATATCGATAACAGACTGAAAATTAATGCAGTACGAATTCGTAGTAAAAATAACATGCTTCTCTAAAATTTTATTTCGTTTGAACTTTTTGTTTTGTATTTTGGTTCGTACGATCGTGTCTTGAAAGCCATGGGCGGCCGCGCGCCAGGCCATGACAGAATTTCTGACGTCATGACTGTTGGGCGACGAAATACCGGTCCAAGGAGGTGACATGTCAGCGAATGACCATACTCGAACTCATTCATATCAGTCTGTGAAGGTAGTGACAGTTGTGTGCATGTACTTTGTCTTTTTCGCACAAGGAGACGTTCTCTTTTAGTTGGATACATACTTCGACTTTCCTGATGCTGTTGAGTACTGGTGGCAGCGCTTCCATCTGCTGGAGCTGTCACAGAAGGTTCTTTGAAGTCGAAAACGTAAGAAATTCTGTCCTCCTCTTTCATCCAGGAATAGATTCATTATGGGTGTGTACATGTATCAGGAGTACACACAACCCCCTTATGCACTCTTGGTACTGATGTCAAATGTACATGATTGTATAATGTCAATATACATGAGTCAATCATGTACGTTTGTCAGTCTTGGTAAAACCTAGAGCACTGCAATACTGAATATCTAACATCAATTTAGCACCGTCTCTCTCTCTAAACAGCACGATTCACAACATTCTATTTATAGGGTTCGACGCACGACGTCTAGTAGCGACAAGCTGCATCTGTGATGCACAATCCACAATTTTTGGCATCTACTGTACATGCAGTGCACATGCGCATGTGCTGAGCGTATAAAAAGGTGCTGCGAGTTTCGTCGCATGTCGCAAAAGTACATGTAGTTGAACATGGATAAACTAATTCTGCGACAGTGGCCCTTGTGACTGTATCATTGTATGCGACAGCACGTGACAGGAATTCCCTTGTCGCATGTTATAAGTCCCATCGCAGGAAATAATAACCATTGTGAACCGTGCAAAGGCCGGTCCCCGTGCGCGTGTAGGTGAGGGGGGGGGGGGGCACGAAAGATTTGGAAATTCTGTATCAGACTCCTATGGGCGTTGGGTGCAGTTCTCATAGGCTGGTCCACTAGTTTAACCGGCATTATACTTTGGAATACCAACATCTGGGTACAAGTGGATGTGCATACAGCAGAGAATAATGCTTCTGAAGACTCACTTGTTCCCTAGCATGGGTGGATTCTTCCTATGTAAAGTGGTTGGATGAACTGTCTTATGATAACGTTGATAAGGCCACCAGAATGAATTCTAGCATTGTTGGAGATCACTCTGCTCTGCTGCAATGGGGTCAGCCGGTTGGGTTCCCTTTTTCTTGCAATGAAAATGGTTGCACGGTTGTATGCAGATACAGTAGTACAATGATCAGGTGATGTTCAGAAGGAGAATGCCAATGTCTACTCTGCTCATTTATTTCTTAGATGATTGATGTCACAACAATACAGATATACTCGTTCATTCTTACATCCATTGCGCTCAGTAAAGTACTGCTGAAAGGTGTCATGCTCCAGTCTTCCCACGCAGCCAAGTCCAGAGTATACGATTGTAGTGTGATGCTGTAACCCAGATGGGTTGGCAGCCGTACTTTGCGTTGGGGAAGTCCGTCTACTATACTACACCAGCCACGCCTGCATTGGCAGTATTAAAACGAATTGAAGATAAGCAAATAATCGATGCGGAGACAAAAAAAATTAAATTAGCGTTTTCTTTATTGCTATTTTAAAATTGAAGATAAGCCTATCATTTATTGATATGCATGTACAAGTTGTACATGTGACGTATGAGTGCAGCATTAATCCCAGAAGACATTCTTCTCCGTCGGTACCCTCTCCTTGGCTACGTGCATACGAGCTTCACTGCTGGCTAGATCGCTTCTTTCTTGGTTGAAGGTAACATCTATCCGGCTGCTCACTTGTCAGGGCCAGCAGGCGGATGTTGCGAATGCAGCAAGCGGCATTCTCCAGGATCACTTCGTTCTGCGACCCCATGAGTTTCAGCAAGGGTCTGACAACACCGGTCTTCTGTAACGTTACGCAGTTGGTTGCATCACGTGACAACTGGTAGAGAGCGCAGCAGGTTGCCTGGCGAACACACTCGTCCGGTGAGGTCAGGTAGGAGACCAGGGGGATACCAATCTTGCACTCTGCAAACGTCTCGCGATTGTCAGTGCAGTTGCAGCAGCTCGCGATGGCATCGGACAGGTGCTTGCGCAGACCAGTCACCTTCAGCTCTGCGCCAGTCTCCGGGTCCCTTACTGTTGATCCGAACGGATAGAACTGCTCGTACTTGCCGTATCGCATTGTCTTGGTTAGGCCGGACAGCATGGTCACAATGTTGTGATCAGTGATAACTGAGAGGTTCTCGTCGTCCATTGCAACATGAGTGATCAGGGCACAAACACTGGACAGCACCTGCAGACTCGGCGACTTCAGCAGACTGGTGACGATTCCCAGGCCGCCGACGAAGGAGCGCACCATCCCGCCGGCCTCGCGAGATCTCTCCACGCACGGGCACAGGGCTAACAAGGCACCGGATCTGACATTGGCGCTTGGCGACTTGAGCAACGACCACAGGCAGCGAACACCATCCTGCTCGTCAATAGACTGCACGCAGGCCAGGTCCGTGGCCAGGTTCCTCAGAGCCAGGCTCACGTTGGTGAGAAGGCATTCGTTGGTTCCCGTCAGGTGATGCACCAGATGGACAATTGCACCAGACTTGCGAATAGTCCTGCGGTTGGCGCTATCCTGCGCCAGCAAGCCCAGGGCCCCGCTGACATGGAGAAGTACGTCCCCGGTCTCCTGTCCGATAAGACCCGCCAAATAGTCCGTCGCTCTACAGTCTCGCAGTATGCTGATGCTCTCCCGGTCGTGACAACACTGGTACAGTGCGCCGGTGACAAACTCCACCATCTGTGGCGTCTTAGCGGAGGCCAGCATCGTTGTAAGCGGTGGCAAGCCGCCGTGCTCTCTCACTTGCTGGCGGACGTCATCCTGCTCGCCGGCCCTGAAGACGGCACTGGCAGCCATGTCTCGCAATTCCAGATTGGAGCTATTGAACAACTGGACCAGCGCTGGCACCATGCCCTCCGTGCGCATCAGCAGCTGGAAGCGCGCTTGTATAGTGCACTCCTGGATTGTGCCAACCACTGGCACGAGCAAGTCCTCATCTTGATCCGCACTCAGTAGTGTACCAAAGATAGAGAATGTCTTGGCGTGAAAGATCGCCGACTTGTTCTTAGTGGCCAAGCTACATCTCCATAGGCCGAGGGCACCAGCCTTTTTCACTTCCAGTTGTTCATGCCGCAGGAGGCCAGTGAACTTGTCAATAGCGCCGTAGCGGCGCAACTGTCTGCGTGCATTAGCAGATGCAGCAACCCTGGCCAGAGTCCCGGCTGCCATAGACATAATCAGAGGGCTAAGGTGAGGGATGCAGTTCGCTAACAGTCCAATGCCCCTGGACTCCGTGATGACCCGTCGCGTGTGCGAGCGTCTGGCAATCTCCTTCAAGATCCTGAGTGAACCGATTTTTATCTCATCATCATCGGCAGCCAGCAGATTGACGAGCAGCTCCATAGCACCGCTGTCTTTGAACGCCAGCAGACAGGAATCACTGGTTAAACCAAAATCGGCTATCAAGCACAGGATGATGACTGTTGCATTCGTATTTCCCCTCTTGATGTCTTTGATCAGCTTGGTGACAGTCCAGTAATCGGTCGGAAGGCCTTCAAACCGATCGTCTCCCATGATTCTGTTCAGCTCTGCATTGTCACTCTCCTCGTCTTCACCTGCAGAGCTGTCACCGCTGGCGTAGTCCGGATCCAAGGGGATTGGCGGAACGCGGTTCTTTTGCTTTCTGGAGTGCGGCCGCCGAGTGCCACCACCAGCTGCACCCTGTTGTTCGTCGTTCTCTTCTTCAGCTCCCGCTCCTGCTGCTCCTGCACTCATGGCCTGGTCCATGTGCAGCTGGAACTTAGCGATCCCCATACCCTTGCCGCACATAGCCTGTCCAGGCTCTTTGCTCTCCTCTTGCTCGCGTCTCTCGTGCTCCAGCTCTGCATCGATCTTGGCAGCTGTTTTTGATTGTGGATGGGCGTGTAGCCTGGCTTGCTGCGTCATCGTCATATCTGTGTTCTTCACTCGACTGCTGGTGCTTATCGCGGGACTCTTTTCCTCCTTCAGTTTTATCTTGACTCGTTTTCCCTTTTGGGTTTTTACGACTGACTTTGCACCCTTCCGAGATGGCAGTAAAGATGAGGGAGGCAGACGTAGCGTCTCGTCGTCTCTGAAGGCTGGTCCCAACGTGCTGTTCGAATCCAACAGGATGTTCTGGGTGGTTCTCATCATCAGCTGATGCAGCATTCTCTTGCGCAGCTTTGGAACTTCGCGGGTGATTTCTGTCTGTTTGAGCGTCTCCCGATCCAGCAGAGTACCAGCATAAGTGCCTTGCATGAACCCTTCTCGTCCGAAAGTCTGTGAAAAGTGCTTGCTGTGTATCCTCAACAGGCTACGGAGATTGTCCGTCATGTCATCCACAGGAGGTGGTGCACCATCTGGAGATGGATCCTTAGCAAAGTAGAAGCCATCAACGTTGCAGCCAACAGAGAACTCGGGACCATCATGCGGATTCACGGTTAGGAAACAGATGTCTCCCTTGGGCTGACGGCGTATGGGTGCTCGTGTTCCGTCTGCAAACATGAGCTCTGACGAGTACTCAATAATGACAAGGCTGGATGTCAGTCGGCCTCTACCGGAGTACATTCTTATCATCTCCAAGTCGCGATCCACCAGCTCTGGCGTCAACCGTGCTTGCTTCTTTATGCCATGCACTGCAAGCAACCTTCCATCCATGGCGTTGAGGAGAAGACACAGGCGGAACTTCTTGTCCAGTTCCTCCGACTTCGGGTCCTTTTTCAGTGCTGCGCGCAAACGGTCGGGAAGTACCCGTTCCCGTGCACCAAGTAATGAGGAACCCGTTCCCATATTGACATGCCCCGGCCCCATTATGCTAGTGACTGGCTCCGTGTTGGCTTCAAGACACAGCTTGATTTCTGCTTCCTTGTCGCCAGCCGCGTCCAGTATCTGCTGGAAGCTCTGGAACGTCCAGCAGCGTATCTCGTAGATCTGTCCCAGCTCATTGTCGTCGGCGACAAACCTTTTCAAGAAGCCATGGACGTTGAACGTTCCTGTAAGCCTCTCCACCTTGGAGAGGACTAGGCATGGGGCGCCGCTGCTGGTCTTCGCCTTCGACGCAAGATTCCCGTCATCGACGACGAAGAGTGCCTCACTGTCGGGCGGCTTGGCGAAGTCATCCGCCCTCAGGTCAGTGCACCACTGGAAGCTGCGGTCGAACACAACAGTGGATTCGCCAGGGTTCTTCTTATTCATTTCCCGAACGAATTGTCCCATATCTTCCAGCAAGGATTTGTTACCTGGGGTTCGCAGCATGTAACCGTCATCGTCATACTCGGCGCGAGACGACACTGTAGCACCCATATTGCCTCCGTGCACAAAGCGTCAGCGAGAAGTGAAATGTGCGGCGCCACCTGTGCCGGCCGCTATGTATGTCCGTGGCAGCGCGCTTCCTCGCCTCCACTACGGCCCGGTAGACCCGCCGCAGAAAGCAGGAGGTCTTTTACCTGGTCTACTCGCCGGTAATCGCCTGTTCGTCTGTCTCCTGGCTGGGCAAACAGATCCCAAGACAGAACGTTCTACCTTCATACTACTTACTAGACAAACATGTAGCAGCACATCGCCCCTCTTGTCAGTCTTGAGTCTTGGCGTCTTGTTGCAAACTAGTAGTACTAGCAGCAATACACACTGCCGACTCGACTCACAACCAAACGATAATGTTCTACTTCAAGTTCTACTTCTAGTCTGTGCGTAACGTCACACTCCTGTAACCTGTAATGCAATATGTCACCTAGTACCTACACATCAGGGAGTCGTGGTATTTTACGACTCCCTGCTACACATGATACATGTGACTGTGAATCATTACTTTGTAGGCCATGTTCACTTGGAAATGACAAAGTCAGTTTATTATACGTGTAGGGAGGGGTTTGGGACTTTGGAGTTTGGGTACGAGTCGACTCCCTACAATGTACATGTACATGTAGCTACTGTCACTGTGTCAGCATTACCCGGTACCGGGTATATACCATGATATACCCCACGGATTACCCATGCCGCCATGGCAACTGCCTACATGTACATGTACATTGTACATGTATGTGTGTGTGTGCCTATTGTAGCGCCTGATTCGTTGCTACAGGCCTTGACAGATTATGCTAATATTTTTCGTGAAAATAATTATGCTTTTCGCATTGCTGAAAAATTGCAGAATTATGCTATTTAAGCCTATTTTTATGCTAAAAGTTATCATATTATGCCGCATTATGCTCACATATGCTGCTAATGGTTCTGTGCAAAATAACAGGGGAATTTTTTTGTAGAGGGCGTTGTACTGTACATGTAGTAGCAAAAGTTCAACGGGGTCAATGCACCGTCCGACTTACATTGTACATGTACTGTAGCTACGACCGTCACTGATTGTTGTGGACTGGATCTGTTAGCAAGGGAGTCGTAAACCTACATGTACGACTTCCTGGTGCATCTACTTGTACTTGTACAACATGTATAACTGTATGGAATTTGATGCGAACAGGCGGATTATTCCAATTTTATGCGAATCGTATGCAATTCGCCTCGAATTATGCGATTATTCGATTTTGGTAGGAATTATGCGAAAAATTATGCTAGTGTGATAACTCGCTCGGACAGCGTTCCGGTTAGTCTCGCCCATGGCTGTGTCGTCTCTAACCCTCGGAACGTTTTGTGACAAGTATAGTCACGGCTGGCATAACGCAACTTCACCCAGTCCTAACCCAACACACACATAACCAACTGATCTCGTCAGAGCAGAGAATATGTTCACTGTTTGGGAGAAGAGCACCGAAAGAACCTCTCGCTAAAAGCAGCAGCATGCCATGATATAACACATCGTAGAAAACAGCAAGCAGCGGCAGTAGCGATAGTACTTGCTAAACATGCAGCTGAACTGCCACTTTGTCCGCTGCGCGGAACGGCGATCGGACACGCACACGCACACACATACACGCACAGGTCTGCGTGATCTAGAAGCGGCTGTCATCATAAGATACGCAAAGTGTGAAAGGGTATTAGAACGGGGCAAGCCTAGACCCGGCGTCTGGACCGCAACATGTACTTGATTAAAAGCATAGCCAGTCAATGGTCAAGCAGGTGCAATCACGCACATCCACACCTAGCGTACTACTACTACTACTATAAAGCGAATTCATAACTACAGGTATTGCACTTTCTACTGCAAATGCACAGTCGTGCGCTTCATCCATTGACAGCAGCAAAACCTATCATTTTACAGTCTCACTGGGTAGGTGACCTCGCCGGCACACACCGTATATTATATTGTACAATAACTGTTCCAACTACGGTCCGGAAGACACAGTGTGTCCACGTTCTACGCACAGTAGCTATCAGCAGTAAGTTAAAAGTTACAAGCCCTCACTCTCGGGCTATGACATCTCCCCGCGCCTTCGAAAAGACTGCCACGTCCTCGTGGCGACAACATTCGGCTTACCGTCGTCTTCTCAACTGGGTTTGCATTCCAAAATACTGCGGTGGCCGGACGGTCCTCCCAGCTCGAGTCTGAACCGCAATCTGGGCTGGTTGTGGCGGTGGCTGGTTGACTGGTAGCGGGATCTGCACAACTGGTTGGCCGCCAACACCGTCCACGCCGCCATACGTCTCATGCTGGGCATCCTCATCAGAATCCCAATACAACAAGTCTGTAGGGTCCGGCACATACACATCAGCCGGGGGCGTTTCGACAGACTCAGCATCTTCAGGTTCCTTCACCTCACTCACAACGAATCTGGTGATACGTTCTAGTCACGCCTAAGTGACCTAGATGATCATGGTACTCACTCAGCACCTGACCGCGCAACGCAACTGGCACCAAAATTTGAAACTTTGTGCCCTCTCCTGCGTTCTCACTGTGCAAAACGCGACATATCACGTCCTCTCGCACCACAAGGCATTTTCGTCCTCGGAAATAATGCCTCAGAGCCGGACTCACACCAGTCAAGTCAGGCGAAGATGACCCGGAGCTGAGCCACTCACTCAGCCGTGTCAATTCATGATCACGTTGCTGAACATCAGCCCAATCAGCTGATGTCCAGTTTCGTCGCCGCACAAAGGGCGTAGGAAGGTCACTCTGGACCGACTCAGCATTCTCCACTGAGCTCCTTTCGTCTGATACCACAGCGATCACCTCATCAGGGACTGTGGTGCCACACCTCTGATCCTGCACTTGTCGAGACAAGCCATCAGCATTGGCATGGACTTTACCTTTCCGATAACGCACCTCGTAATCGAAATCACTCAGAAACTCAAGCCACCGCGCCACGATCGCACTTGGTTCTTTGAAACGGTTCAGGTATTTTAGTGCTTGATGGTCTGTGCGCACGACAAACCTTCGACCCAGCAAATAGCATCTGAAATGCCTAAATGCCCACACTAGTCCGAGGAGTTCACTCTTCGTCGAGCCATAATTCCTCTCGGCAGAGTTCAACCCTCTGCTTGCATACGCAATAGGTCGCTCCCGACCATCTGCGTCGGTCTGGGACAACACAGCTCCCAAACCATGGCCACTTGCGTCCACATCGACTACAAATGGGGGCGCATCGGTCTCAAACCTCGGATACGCCAACGTGGGTGCTGAAGACATCTTCTGTTTCAGCAATTGGAATGCGATCTCACACTCGCCATCCCATGAAAACCTCTGGTTTTGCCTCGTCAGCTTCACCAGCGGCCGAGAAATGGATGCATAATCCTTCACAAACCGTCGATAGTAGCCACAGAAACCCATAAAAGAACGCACCTCTGCTACGTTCTTTGGGCACCGCCACTCTGACACGGTCTCAATCTTGTCCGGATCGGTGCGCACACCATCCTTCGTGACAACATGACCCAAGAAATTGACTTCTGTCCTCAACAGATGACATTTCGAGGGTTTCAACCGAAGACCAGCCTCCAGTAGTCTTTGGAACACTGCTTCCAGTCGTTCCAAGTGTTCGTCAAACGTCTTTGAGAACACGATAATATCATCGAGGTATACCAGGCACATCTGCCACTGCAAACCTCGCAAAACGGCACTCATCAGCCGTTGAAATGAGCTCGGGCCATTGCACACACCAAATGGCATCACATTGAACTCATAGTGCCCATCAGGCGTGGAAAATGCCGTCTTGGCCTTGTCTGCCTCGTCCATTGGCATCTGATGATACCCAGAGCACAGATCAAGCGTCGAGAAGTACATCGCACCGCCCAACGCGTCCAACGTATCATCAATACGCGGGAGTGGGTATGGATCTTTCACGGTTATTGCATTGACTCTCCGATAATCAACACAGAACCTCGTCGATCCGTCCTTCTTCCGCACCAACACAACTGGTGAAGACCATGGACTGACCGATTCTTCGATCACACCCTGTTCAAGCATGTTGTCAACCAACTTCCGACATGTTTCTCGCGAGCTCCAAGGCAATCTCCTTGCGGGCTCATAAACTGGACCATCACAGCTAGTCCTAATCTCGTGTTTCAACACGTCTGTCCGACCCAGCTCGGACATGTTCATAGCGAATACACATCTGTACTGCTCGACCAAGGTTCTGAGCCTAGCCAACTGCTCGGCCTCAACCACAGGCTGCTCGCTGTTGCCTGTATCAGGTGGGGAGCATGCCTCCCAGTTACCCTCCTGAGAGCAACAGCCATCAGGCATCGTACCACGACCACGCTGGTCAACGTCGGCCTCGTGTACTGCCTCATCATCCCTCATCGCACAATGGTGTGACCGACCATCGTCATCACCACCACCGGTTTCAAGCAGCCTCTTCCCGCCTGGAGAGCGCTTCCCTGCGCCGGGACCACCATCGGGGTTCCCCACTCGCAGTACAGACCACAAATCCTGGT